GAGAATCTCTCATTGGACCCCCCCCCCCCCCTTACCTCTATCCACTTGTCTTTCTTCTCTCCACTTATTCTTTCTCTTCTCCTCTCCTGCTCTTTGCTCATACTCTCCCAACCAAACATGTTTGCACTGATGGGCCAGATAACTACATGTTGTTAATAAACCCTTATCCTGTTTGTGTAGCCGATAAGCCAGTTCACGTCTCCTTCAGTGAGCTGAAGTTGAGGCTAAAGGTGGCTCTTGTTAGCTCTGGTTACCCCCCCCCCAACAGCTCACTTCTCTCTCCACTCTGCATCCTTCTCTCAATTGCTTGTCTCTGCTTCCGGATTTAACAGTGTTAAACACAAACTCGATGATGGAGCAAGAGGGTTTGAATGGCTTTAGCTTGAATTTGAATGGTCATTCTATTCCTGGGCACAGATTTGCCTCCATTCTTTATCACAATGGAGGCCTGGCAGTTTGGAGGAGAGACTTGTCAAACTCAGACTTTGACATTCTGACTGCAGGTCAAGACCCAGCTTCACATGTTGTTCTTTGCTGTTGCTTTTAGCCGATCCAGCCAGCCTGTTGCACTGTTGAACTGGAGCACTGCCATTTCTGTTTCCTCATAAAAAATGTTAAAAAAAATATGAAACTCAAATACTTTTCCTCAGCTGACATAAGATAATTTCACCCTTATATCACAATATATCGCATCCTTTTGAAAACCTCTATGTTAATTCATAATTTTTGTCGTACACCAAACTGTTAAACAATTAAGAAGCCCACTGAGGAAACAGGTTTTTAAACTTTGCTCCTTTCTCCTTTTTGTCCTTCTTCTCCTTCCTTTCTTTTCTCCTATTTTAATTATTTTTGCATGCCATCAGGCCCTCCTCACCATTCTTGGTCGTCTTTCACTATGAGCTGCCCTGGCTCTCCAGGTATCTTTCTGTTTCTTTGTGGCTGTTTTTATGTTACTCATACTCACATTTAAATATATCTGCTCTTCTCAGCTTACTTTGCCTCAGATCCCAACATTTGTCTTATTCAGTTTAACAGAAATTAATTTCTCTATTATGTAAAATAGTTCCATAGGGAAGGCAAACTTTATGTTTATGCATCTGGTAGCTTCAGAGTTATGTGCACATAACAGAGCAGACAGAACTGTCACATTTTTATTTTTATATCAAAATGAATGAAAAAAAGATTTCCTCTGAGAAAATTAAGCAGATTTAAACTATTATACTTGGAAACTTGTACTGGAAATATTATCTGTTATTTCTTTGCAGTCAAGAGGAATCATGATAACAGCACCTTCATCGACATCTCCCGCGCCAACAGTTTAACTGATGAGCTGGACTACGTGAGTGAGGACATTCCGCTGCCTGTGGTGACTAACCGAACACAGTAAGTCCCCAAAAAATGACTCATCTGCTCTTCTCTGGAGCTCCCGTCTCTCTCCGATCCATCACCCTGCACTGACCTCCATCCTGTGATACATATAATACTGATTTCCCTACTCATCATAGTACCTAAATACCTTTTGTCAGACCCAGAGAGCCCCTCTAGCTGCTCTCTAAATGAAGTTGTTTTGTTGAACTCTCTTGAGGGTTAAATAGACTCTCGAGGGCCAAGGCCATATCAGGTACAAAGAGTTACAAAGGGGATTATCCCTTTAGTCTTGAGGGAAATGTCAAAGAAATCCCTCTCAATAGGTTGTAGGACATGTTAAGGTACTGGATGGCTTGTCAACACATGCCCTCATAGGACTGAACATTCACTGTTGTTGGTTGCTGTGTGAATTGTGAATATGTTTTGTTGGTGTTCCTTCCTACCCCTGACCTGCTTTCGTAATGTGTACCAAAATGTAATTCTGATTAGATTTTCTTTGCATCCTGTGTTAACGTGCTTTAGCAGACAATGTTAATGACTGCTAGGGTTAGGTTAAAAACAATTAATTTCCCATTATTTCTCCACTTACTGCTGTCATTTCACCAATATCCACAGACCAGTACTACCACATGGTGTTTTCACAAGTTTACACTATCAACAGTTACTACAGGTTTTCAAATAGAAGCAAAGTGGAAAGGCTTTGCACAGACAACATGTCAACACTATTGTTTGGCTTAATTCTAGTAGTGGGAGAATGCTAGAGTGCCTTTCCCACTGGGGCTGACTCATGTTGCATTGTTGCATCCAGACTCGGTGATTACATACTGAGCAGGCAGGTAATACCAAGTCCCATAGGACCAAATGCAGAAGGTTTGACATTTTAATACATTGTGGGCTTTCAAAAAGCTTGAATTGGACATAGCTGATGTTGTTGATATATCGTTCCCTTTCATTAATAATAGAAACAGTATGGTTAATCCATTGTGTACATCCACCCTTTAATCCCTCATGTGACTGCTGATGCGCACAGAAAAGCTTCGAAATAAGTGTTGATGAGGTGTGCTGTGACATATTGACATGCAGTATTTTTCATATTTATATTGCATATAGTCCTTTGTTCTTTATGTGCTTATAGTGTATGTATATTTCTTTTATATTCCTAAGGAAAGCATGTGCGAACTGCCCATATTTTAGCTCACTTGCGTCAGAGTGTTAAAATCCTATTTACATTCATGTCCTTATGGTGGTTCCATAGTGTATATATGTTTTCAAATAGACTCAATTGGGGTTTGATGTAATACCTGTGTAGTCCTTGTTAAACTCTGCTCCACTAAAATTGCTCACTGCTTGCTCTAAAAAAAGCTGTGTTGTGTTTTAGTTTTAACGTTTAAACAGCACAACGTGTATGTATGAGCATTTTTGAGTATTTAAATCATTCGCTCTGCACTCCATTCAAAATTCTCCCACTCCGCTCACATGCTCTGCTTGCACAGAGAGCATGTCTTCAAAATAATAATGACTGTGTCTGAGACTGGATTTTTCTTTTTCTTTCTTATTCTCAGTTTGTGTGTGTGCATATTTATTCTCATACTGTAGATGTGTGTTGATGGATGTTGTTTATAACTGTATACAGTATTCCTGCCTAATAGGCATTGTCCATTTTTGGACTTTTGGCTTTTCTTATTCATCCTCTACATTCTCCTCTCTGTGCCCCCTTTAAATAAAAACGTTTAATTCACCTTTTGTCCAGAAGAACAGAGTTATTACCATAGCCTTACATAGTTTCCCCCAATGTCCAGTTCTAGTTCAAAATATCTAAGGGATTATAAAATGACATCACATCATCCAATTCTTACATGTACAACAAAATACACTTCAACCAGTAAAACAATGGTTATGAGCAGCAGAACACTTCCTCTTTCTCTTTCAGTCTTTTGACCTGCCCGCTCATGGCATTGGTCCAGGACTCTTTCTCTGCACAGCACTTGAATTCCACAAGGTACTGTACTGACTCTCCCGCTATTCTTCTTTCTTATTTCCTTTCCTCCACTTACCCAACCTTCCATCCACCCTGATCTTATCTGCTGGTCAAAGGGAGACCATGGGAAATGTCATCTTTGACATAGCACAGAAACCATGACTAGCCACTACCCAAACTCTTATTACTTATATTTTATTTTCTAGGTCGTTTTCCTTCTTCTTCTTCTTCTTCTTTAAGAGTGCTTAAAACTTTCTGCCATAGCCAAACATTTGTCCTCACACATATAGTCAAAGTAGTAATGAAATTTAATAAAGAGCAGCTGAATACTTTGTAAAATATGTTCAGGTATGAGCTTGTTTTATAGGAAGATGTCATGTCATGTCTAGTATTCTAGCCCTTGTTTTCCTAACAGAAGATGGCGCTACTCTTTTATAGTATGCAGGCAACATGCTGGTACAATATGCCATAAAACAGCCTATAGCCTGTTGTTTTAGGGGCCTGTTTGCTCATTGCATCAGTAATACAACCTTTGTTACACTCAACCATACAGTTCTATAGTATTTTAAACCATTTATGTTACGATTGGGTCGTGCAAGGTTAATGTCCCTTGGACAGATGTAGGAAAAATCAAATCCTTTCTTAAAATTACTTTCATGTTAATCTGTGTACATGTTTGTACCTGTTTTTTAATTACCTTTTTTAAATGTGTGTGTGTCTTACCATGTGTGTGTGCGTGTGGGTGTGGGACCACTGGATGTTAATGCCTGTGTGAGAGCGAGTCTTCCAGCTGCAGAGACAGACAGTGTCTATTTGTATCCATTGCAGGGCTTCTGTGCCCATAACTCAGCTGTAACAGCCAAGCCCAGATTTGGGCCATGCTGGGCACATTCCCATAACAGCTGGTTTGTTTGCCCCTGGTGTCACGCCACCAAGGGCAGCACTGTCATTTGGCATCCTTATCTGGATTTCTGCTGACAGCTACCACATCCACCCATACTGCTTAAGGCGTTTTGCAAGCACACACACTCTGTATCAGTTTTCTGTTCTTTTATATTCAGGAATTGGGGTTTTTCCACACCTTCCAACCTTAAAGTAAATTTGACATGAGCTGGCGCTTCCTCGGTTCAGTCTAGTTTGGTGCTTGTTTAAAGAGCTGTTATTCTACGTTTCTGGGATCCCTATCAACTTTATTTCTCCGTGACAGCACTAGCTGGAAAGATTCTGTGTGCGTGTGTGTGTGTGTGTGTGTTGGTTCATGTGTGAGAGGCATCAATACAGCTGGCTGTGACGTCTCTGGGCTTCTGAAGAGGAAGTGGTGCAGGGCAGCGTCCGCACGCAATCATGTCTTTTGCTTCTCTGAACCCAAAACATACACACACACACACACACACCTACACAAACACACACAAGCATATTTTTTTCTTTCTGAGAAGATACATCTTGATTATGGCCTTGTTTGTTTGTTTAAACCAGCTTATGGTGATTTGTTGGATTTAATGAAATATCTCAAATAGAAAAAAATAAAATCACATACACTTGTTTCACAACTGTCAACATAGTTCTTCCCTTTTGACTGTAAACAGTTCCTCTTCTATTTGTTTACTTGGCCCTGTGTAAATGAGGCTTGATTTTGTTACGATTCGGTTTGATGTGATACAGTGTGTGTGTACAGCAGTACACTTTGAGGATGTAAATTTCTGAGATTTACTGATTAACTGTTGAATGAAATCATAACAAACCCCAGCGGGGCTGCTGATCCTAATTCCACCCCAAAGCAGATTGACTTTTACCCTCTTGGAGAATGAGTAAATGTTTCCAAGTACACTTCTTAGACCCCAAACAGAGGAAGGCCTTGTTTAGCTGATTGCAGTGATTGTGTCCTATCTCTCTCTCTCTCTGCCAGTTCTCTGTTGTTATACTCTATATAACTGCATCATCCCTTGCCTCTCCATGTACCCAAAATATACCCAAAAGAGAAAAGAACTTTCCTGATTATTTTCTCTGTCTAGCAGCACCGGATCAGCAACATCTAACATCTTGTGATCAAAGGCAGTTGCCCCTTCCTCCTGCTGGGTGTGGCCAGGTTCTCCACCCTTCTCCTCCTCCTTATTGTCTCCATTCAGACCTGCAAAAGCCTGCATGAGTCACCTGCAGGCAGCTCTTAATTAGTTCCTCTCTTACAAGCTAGCAAGGAGATAAACAATGAAAACCCTACTGCAGCGCCACAGGAGGGATTGCAGGCAGAGACACATGCATCATGGCCTGTCCTCTTCAAGTAGGGGCCTCTCTCTGCTGAGCAACTGGCGTCTTTTGTGCAAAGCTCTGAACAAATTGACTTTTTGTCTGTGTGGCCTCTGTATGCCTGTCGTTTACACTGTACTCAGATATTGATGGCACAGAGGGGTGTTTCACACATATGGTGTTTAGTGAAGAGGAGAAATCTTAAATGGAAGTCTTTTTAAACCTTGAATATTGTCCCTTTGACAAAAGTTTGTGATATAAGTTCTCCCCAGCAGTATGCCGAGCAGTGTGCTCCAAAACATGTGCTGACCAAGAAGTTATTTTATGGGGCTTTATGCAAGATTCAACAGTGAATCCAATGTGAAAATATCCAATAAATCCTCTTAATATTTTTGGCTTTACTGCCAAGTATTAGAATGACAAACTAGACTAGGAAAGGGCCCCACTTTGGGCGCATGCACAAGACACAAATGCACACAGATAAACGGATGGGTTTAGAGTCGTGGCCTCCTGCCCTGCAGCAAGAAAAGCCGCCCGGGTGCTGCTGCTTTATGAAAAGATAGTGAAAGAAACTAAGAAAGAAAAGAACAAATTGTGCCCCAGTTTCTTGACTTTCTGCCAATTTCTAGAGCATAAAAAAGACAGAAAATAGCCTTGGTGCAGTAAAACAGCCACACACTGATTCATATTCTCTGGACAGCAGAGCTGTGCGTGGAGGGATTCAGTAGTTAATCTCATTACAGACTCTGGGCTTTTTATTCGGTTGCTGACCTCCACTCTACCTTTACTCACT